TATCATATCATTTTATGTTCTTGCAAAGCTTGACTGTTGTGTCTTTACAATTTATCACACTCTAGAGCCATAAAAATGTAAATAGTTTTCGAATAAAATTTTATATTTTGGATACCGAAATGTAAACAATGCCTTTGTTTCCATACGGATTGTACCACATCGTTAAACATTGCTTCAAACACTCATTAATAATTCATAAGCTTATTGGCAAATCATGTCAACCATAATATGTCACGTGCAGTGGCTTTAAACCTGATAAAACACTCCTACAGGTAATTAGTATTCTTTATATAAAGAATATTAATAAGGCAGTATCTATTCTAGTCGTGCCCTCATTAGTATTTTTTATATCCCTATCCGAAAATTTCCTATAGGAAATCAAAATTCCATATTGCATATTCCTATAGGAATTCCTATAGGAATTGAAAATGGTGAAAAAATTCCTACAGGAATTCCTATAGGAATTGAAAATTCCTATAGGAATTCCTAAGGAACTGAAAATTCCTATAGGAATTCCTATACGAATTCCTATTCCTAAAGGAATTCCTATAGGATTTGAAAATGGTGGGAAAAATCCCTATAGGAAAAAAAATTCCTATAGGAATTCCTATAGGATTGGAAAATGGTGGGAAAATTCTTACAAGAAATTAAAATTCCTATAGGAAATTAAGAATTCCTATAGGATTTGAAAATAGTAGTATAAATCTCAAAAAATTTAATAAAATTCCTACTGGAATTTCCATAGGCATAGGGTTTGAAAATGGTTAAACAATTCCTATAAGATAGGATTCCCTATAGGGACTATAAGATTGGAAAGCCATGAAAAATAAAATGATAAAAAGTGAGTCAGTTCCTATAGCAATATATTTATATCAACATCCTAATTAATGTTTCCAGAAGCAAAAATCTCTTTTCCCATGAATGTTGACAGGCATAATTAATTTAAAATGGATTATACACAAACAACTTAATATTAGTAAAGACATGTTAAGAGGCTGTCTCTGTAAGAACCGGGCACCCAGTTCTGGAAGGAAATATGAAAGTCTTCAAATTTTTCACAATAATTTTCCTTTCAGGTACTTGTATGAAAAAAGAAATCGGTTTGCGTTAAAAAGCTTTTTTTGTAAAATTTGGCCCATCGATATTTTACACCTTGACGGGTCCAAAATGGCGGCCTGAAACTGCCGTAAATAGCAGATTTTCGTACGACTCTCGCGAAGCAAGTAGGTAAGTGAGAGTCTTATGTATCAAAATATTTTAACAATCAGTGGTTATAGTTTCTTACAACAAAAAATAAGGAACATCTATCCAGGATTTCAGGAGGAATAATTTTCTGAAAAGATACACTTTTACTAGTTTGCAAAGTCGCACATTATAAGACAAATTAAATAGCAATTTTCGTAAGTTTGGCACCTTATACGAAGTGCACATTACTACCATTGTGAACCTAGAGCTGTGTTTTTTTAACGGGAAACGTAAAATATTTGGGCACTTGACGGGCATAGCCACAAATCATCTACAAAGTTTGATAATTTTCCTGTAATTGACGAGTGACGACGCATGCGTTGCTAACGTAATTTTTCTTGAAAACTCTCACCCAGCAACATTGCTGGAAAAAATAACTTAAAAGTCAACTTTTATTTTGCTTTTGTTTATTAAACGTTTCGCAATTAATACGCAAATATTTATTCTGTCGCGCTTGGTCATTTATTTTTCTATTTATTTTTACCGTTGGTTCTATGTTCATTGCAGGGGCGTGCTCAAGTTATGAATATCTATATCGATTAGCAAACGGCTTGAAATATCGATCGGCGAATACAGGCATTTGTTTAAACTGTAAAACTTGTAACAATCTTTATATCCTTTCATAAACAAAGATTACAATTCGGCAATTAAGTTGCTATATTAAATAAATGTAAAAATTTATGCTACATGCTAATTAGGTCGAGCATTGTCAGAAACCGGAAAGTGTCAATTTCTCTGCTGAATATTTTGACGCGGGGTATATCAATAACCAATTGCTTTCTTATTAATAAGTACTAGCCTATTTAAAGCACGCGTAGGAGTGTTTTATCACATATAAAACACGACTCATCTTATACGAGTTCATTTGCGAAATAATTTTTAAAATAAACTTTGTCTAAACCGAGAAAATCAAAGCTAAAGTTTATGTAAGGCCATATAAAATAAATTCCTTGATTCTCATCGCTAAATTTTAAAAACTCCCAGGAGGCGGGAGGTTTATATTTTATATTTTATGTCAAAATATAAAAAAAGTTTAAAATTTAAAAATTGGAGAGGGAGGTCTTTTTATATTTGCCTTAAATATATTATAGAAGAACGCTATATAAGTGGATAATTGCACATGCGCTAATGAACAAGCATAAGGTCCACACAAATCGTTGTAATAAGGCTATAAGCCATAGGCTATAAGCCCATTTTTTCCTTCAGTATTCCAAGCATCCCCTTAACATGTTGCAATATTAACGATAAAACAATTTTATATCGCAAAAATTCCAATATAAAATATAAAAATAACTAAATCTCTGAAGATGCTCGGTCGGGCGGTAAATTTATATTTTATAACAAAATACAAAAATATATCAACGCGGAAACCAAAATATCGTCGGGCGGTGATGAGAATCAAGGAATTTATTTTATATGGCCTAAATTAAAGTGATTTTTTATCACATATACTGTAAAACCACGACACGCTTATGATTTTTCTTTGTGTTTTGCTCCGGAATTATTAATGACTTTTTGAACGATAATTATAAACGCAGGCCTGTATTATATATTCCACCAACTTTTGGCATTCGCTTGAAAGTTTCTAGTGACTTGAAGATTAATATTTGACTTTCATGCGGATTCGGTTCTAAGATGTCTTCCATGTGTTCATTTTCCATTCGTATAAAATCTGAATGCGGCAGTCATTTGTGAGTGTGGAGAATCTTACTGTATGTTGACAAAATGTAAAGACGATATTCGCGGGCATCTTTCAAGCTGCCACTTGTCTTGGGAAAATATCGAAGAGTATGAATTAATCTTAGCCAGGGCTGGATTGTTTGATATTCCGGAGTCAACTGGAGAAGATGGGGGTTTGCCCTCGTCATGCATTGGGGAAGGAATAGCGTCCTCTTCGTTCCTGTCAGTGTCCAACTCATCTATCCAAAAAGAAAAAAGTGAATGGTTCCCATGTTGTTCTGCTAAAGCTTGCAAAAGAAATCCATAAAATAGGGCTGTAGAGTTGTAGGGTTGTAGAGCGGTAGAGTTTTAGAGCTGTAGAGCTCTAGAGCTGTAGAGCTCTAGAGCTAGCTGTAGAGTTGTAGAGTTGTAGAGCTCTAGAGTTGTAGACTTGTAGAATTGTCGGGCTGTAGAGTTGTAGAGCTCTAAGGCTGCAGAGTTGTAGGGCTGTAGCGTTGTAGAAGTGTAGAGTTGTAAAGGCACAGGGCTGTAAAGTTGTAGGGCTGTGGACTGAGCTGTAGTGTTGTAGAGCTGTAGAGTTCTAGAGCTGTCGGGCTGTAGAGTTCTAGAGCTGTAAAGTTGTGGGGTTGTAGCTTTGTTGCCACGAATAGTGCCAATTTGTACTTCAGACGAATGCCAAAAGTTTGTGGAATTTAATATAGGCGTGTGTTTATAATAGGTGAATATTCCCCGATAATCACTGAGCCTGAGTTTTAGCATTTTTCACAAGCCTTATGTGTTTTTTAGGACTGAATTTATTTTAATTTCGCTTATTTCTTTATCAGTAACTTCCACAAAACGGCTATAGCCGCCATTCTGTAAATTTGGGTTTTGTTATATTCACCTGTAGGTGAATATAACAGCTTAATACGTCACATTTGACATAGATACATAAACTTTATTTACCCACGCTAACCCTGTCAACCGAAGCTGATTTTCCACAGGGGGCATGTAAAAAGCGATTGTTTATTCATTGATATACCCCGCGTCAAAATATTCAGCAGAGAAATTGACAGCAGAGAAATTGACCTACTTAGCATGTAGCATACATTTTTACATTTATTTAATATAGCAACTTATTTGCAGAATTGTAATCTTTGTTTTATATGAAACGATATAAAGATTGTTACAAGTTTTACAGGTTAAACAAATGCCTGTATTCGCCGATCGATATTTCAAGCCGTTTGCTAATCGATTAAAGATATTCATAACTTGAGCACGCCCCTGCAATGAACATGGAACCACCGGCAAAAATAAATAGAAAAATAAATGACCAAGCGCGACAGAAAAAATATTTGCGTATTAATTGCGAAACGTTTAATAAACAAAAGCAAAATAAAAGTTGACTTTTGAGTTATTTTTTCCAGCAATGTTGCTGGGTGTGCTGGGTGAGAGTTTTCAAGAAAAATTACGTTAGCAACGCATGCGTCGTCACTCGTCAATTACAGGAAAATTATCAAACTTTGTAGATGATTTGTGGCTATGCCCGTCAAGTGCCCAAATATTTTACGTTTCCCGTTAAAAAAACACAGCTCTAGGTTCACTATGGTAGTAATGTGTACTTGGTATAAGGTGCCAAACTTACGAAAATTGCTATTTAATTTGTCTTATAATGTGCGACTTTGCAAACTAATAAAAGTGTATCTTTTCAGAAAATTATTTCTCCTCAAATCCTGGATAGATGTTCCTAATTTTTTGTTGTAAGAAACTATAACCACTGATTGTTAAAATATTTTGATACATAAGACTCTCACTTACCTACTTGCTTCGCGAGAGTCGTACGAGAATCTGCTATTTACGGCAGTTTCAGGCCGCCATTTTGGACCCGTCAAGGTGTAAAGTATCGATGGGCCAAATTTTACAAAAAAAGCTTTTTAACGCAAACCGATTTCTTTTTTCATACAAGTACCTGAAAGGAAAACTATTGTGAAAAATTTGAAGACTTTCATATTTCCTTCCAGAACTGGGTGCCCGGTTTTTACAGAGACAGCCTCTTAAGCTTTATCATTGTCATTGACATGCTGAATATGTTTTCAGAGCCGGCATAATTCTCACTCCCGTCGCTCAATGGAAGGAAAAAAATCAAAATCAATTGAAGAACGTGAAGAGGAATATAAGAAAGCTCGATCAAGAATATTTAATCATGGTTCGTTATCATCTCAATCTTCAGCATCCTCTAAAGATGGCGAGTCTATTTTACCTGGGTTCACTGATGTGTGAGTATGGTATTCCTTAATATCCGTTTAAGAGCGATACTTTAGCACTTGCCTGGGGCAAGTAAAAATCATTGCTGGCAACCAATAAGTTGCTTCTTGATTGCCAGATCGAGCAAGTTGTTTTTTGCCAGAAATCAATAGTTACACTAAATTGTTCGCTTGTTTATGTTATTGCATTCTGTTATTGTCTTTTGGATTCTGCTGAAGAAAACATAAGATTAAAATGGTGATTAATCGATCTTTACTGCAATAATCACTGGGAAAAAATTGTGAAATCCATACTATGACGTTTGCAATTGCACCACTAAACCCGTAGTATAATATATCCATACTATTTGGATACTACTGTACCTGTATATCCTTAGTATGGAAATATGGATAATCAAAATCCATTCTACAGTATTTCCAATAAAAGTGAATCTTATGCCCTGATATTAGAATGTTAGGGTTTGTGATCCAAGTGAGAATATATACATTTTAAGACCTAGCCAGGAACGACTGCGCAAAATGCAGCACAAGGTTCTCTGGTAGGAATTGAACCTACGGCCCTATGGCATGTCGTAAAACTAGCTATAAGTAACACCCACTGCCCAATATCGTCCTTGGCATATGCCTGTCGTTGGAGATACTGTAAGCAAGAGTTACCTACTGTAGACTCCTATCGTTGGTAATTTATTAACTACTTGCCTACTTATCCCAATCGAAGCAACTATTCATTTGTCTTAAGTCATCACGTGATGAAAGTAAATCAATTTTAAAAATTCATAAACTTCAGATATAAAGAATACGTTACATATATTATCGGGAAATTCCAGTGTACATTTTATACATTTAATTAGACCAAACAAGGAGCAGCTGGGAAAAATTGTTAGCTGCAATTGACCATTTGCGCAATAGACTAAATTTTGAACTAAACAAGTCTACACAAAAATTTCATCACAGCTTGAAGGAGCATCACAAAATTAGTAATATTCCGAAGTTTCGTTGCAAAATGTTGTAAAATGCGGAAAATATAGCCTTGCGAAATTTGCAATTTTCAGTCATTTTAGATTACAAACGAGAAATTGACAGCCCCAAACCCTTCGAGGCTGTCAATTTCCGGTTTGTAATCTAAAATGACTGAAAATTGCAAATTTCGCAAGGCTATATTTTCCGCATTTTACAACATTTTGCAACGAAACTTTGGAATATTACTAATTTTGTGATGCTCTTTCCAGCTGTAGTAAAATTTTTGTTGAGATCAAAATTTAGTCTATTACGCAAATGGTCAATTAATTGCATAAAATTTACAGTCGAAACTCCTTGAACATTACAGTAGTTGAATCGAGTGAGATGCCCCCAAATCTTGATATTTCTACATACTGTATATTATCGCATCTCTCTATAAGGTTATTCTTAGGGCAGGATGTGGTTTCATGTTGTTACAACCATCTAATGGAAGTGTCTTCCTTTCATGTAGTGATAGTGAAAATGAGAAGTCGAGAAGTATCGAGTATTCAGAAAGTGTTGGTGATGCGACTGTGGATATGCCGCAGCCAGGTTAGTGCAGGCTGGATCAGTGAATTCTAAGTAAACTGGAACGATAACTCCAGTGATCAAGTCCTATGATTGGTTGAAACCAAATTTGAAGCTAAGCGTGGGAGCCGCGCAGGATAAATTAACTTCAAAAGGACTAGGGAGGTTTCGAAGTGCGGGAAATTCAGTCAAAAGTTTGTTTTTGAGCGAAATTTAGCATTTTATCAAAAGGCTTCAATTTTGAAGATAATTCTAAGTATTTTACATTTACATCCACTAACAGCAAAAACGTCCTGGGTAACAGTTTCCTGTTTAAAATATTACACAAGTTTGAACGTGCCGAAAAAAACTTCGCACTTTTGGAAAACAACTTTAAAACTGCTCTACGGTCCGGAAATATGTTATATGTATATATAGTGCTCGAAAACAGATATCTTTTAGATGACGTATTTTCCACTCCCTACATGGCGGCGTTCAGTTTGGCTTCAAAGATGGCGGCCAAGTTGTCGTCCGAGTCCTTTTAGAGTTCACTGATCTGGATACAGTGCAGATAGTGGTCGGACTTGCCGAAAGACATTTTGAAGAAAGAATATTTTGCAACCGATTTTTTTTCCAATTGTTTTTTTTTGTTGATAGAAATCGTGAGTGTAAATTTTATACATTTTTAGACCTATGACCAGGAGCAGCTACGAAAAATGAGACGCACGTTTCTCAATTTCTGCCAGAGGGCCTATTCTGCATTTTTTCGCAGCGGCTACTGCATGGTTTTATGTGTAGAATAGAATAGAATAGAATAGAATAGAATAGAATAGAATAGAATAGAATAGAATAGAATAGAATAGAATAGAATAGAATAATTTATTTAATGTCGAATTACACAGAGTGTGGTTACCCAATCACTCGAGCCAGACAAAAAACTAAAATGTATAAAGTTTGCACTAGAGATCTCCATTTACAAAAACCCTCCAACATTTAGTTCTATCGAGTGAGATGCCTCAAATCCTGATTTTTGCGAATGAGGAATTTAACTAACGGACTTCTTCGTTGAATGTTATTTCTGGTAACTACGATTCTGAAAACATTTGTTTAACCCATTAAGCGCAGCGCTCCCCCCTTTGGCGAGTAAAATCGTCTTGCGTTAGACAGAGTAAAATAATAAAGTAGGGTGCAAAGCAACTTACTGGTTTAACCAGATACATGAGCAGACTGTCTGATTAACTCATTAAACGTCAGAGCTTTCTTGACGAGCAAAATCTGGCGATAGGCAGAGTAATAATAATAAAATAGGGAGCATTGTGGCGCAATGCGAGTTGATATTTTACGAAAAAGAGGTTCACAGATATTTGGTTACTCTAACTTTCACTTGCAGCACATTAATAGAAACCAGCGAAAAAGGTTCCACAGTAACATTGCTATTTAGAGTCTTGCTTTTTATGTATATCGTATTATACATATTACTCACTATATTTATATTACTCACTATATTTAAACACAGTGTACAATTCGTGTTCGGAAATAATACGTCAAAAATATATGCTGTGATTATCTGTTATGAGCCAACGAAAAAAGTCACTGAAAGGATACTTCTTTTTATTGTTTTCTTGTAGCTGTTAGAGTGTTGACAAACAGGTCAAGATCGCCAGACGATCTCCCAAAACTAGCTCTGGAAGTTGGTTCAAACATGGACGCCAGTTCGTCTGCATCTTCAGCGACTCTACCAACAATTGGGACTGACTGGAATTTAGACTCCAGTGTCCTCACTCGGTCCGTGGATACTACCACTGCTTCAATTGAAGGCATTCCTTATATAACCAGAAATATACCCGGGACTGATGGTGCTGGAAGGGCCAATATGGTGGAAATGATCCCGCAACTGTCTCCAAATCAAACAGGTACCGTAAACAACTGATAAATCTCGCGCTTTTGAGACACTTTAAAATGTAATATTGGAACCCCATTAAAAGAAAGACTGTAGCTGCAGGTCAATGCTAATGTGGCTACAAACACAATGCCCGCTGATCTAAAATACCACATCTATGTTAATCAAAAGTAGTCATGCAGTGTCCCAGTAAAGCATAGGGAAAAATTAGGGGGAGGGAGGCAGGAAGACATTCGCCCGACTTTTTTGAATTTTGCCCGACTTTTTAACAAAAAGTTTTCCATGTAAAAGTTATGTAAAATTCCCAACGTATGCACTAAAGTTTCAGAGACCTACTGAGAATAGTGTTACGCCCCTTGTTACTTTGCCATTTAGGTTCTCTGTTAAAATATTATGAAGGTGTTTTAGGTGGTGTTGTATGGACTCTGCCAGAAAACCAGGCTACATATCCTCCGGGACAAGGCCCGATCTTTCCTGCACACGAAGCTGCAGGTATGTTCTTTCTGACATACTAGACACTCTATTCAGCGTGATGTTACTGGGGTATGTTGGGTGCTGGTAGTACTACCATGGGTAAATCATTGAATAGTTGATAGTCGATATTTATTCACGCTAGCCTCAACAACATTACAAGCTGATTTTCATGAGGAGCGTGATTTAGAACTATTTACAGGATTTATTATTAGCATGACAAAATTACTGGATGCTGATTGGTTGAGAGGAGTACAATTATTTCATTAATTGTACTGCAGTACAATTAATGATTTTCCCAAAACAAACAAAATGGCGGAAACGTATTTTAAACACAAATGTGAAATGAAATTGCCGTGGAGGAACTAGATGAAAATACGAACAAAAGCACCAAATTTTGCTTGAACAAAAGAACTAAATGAAAATACAAACAAAAGCACCAAATTTTGGTTCAAAGTCTGGCAGGACTGGGCTTTGGCGAGAGAATATGATGTTGACATTGAGAAGTACGTATCCAATTTTGTCATGCTAATAATAAACAAGTAACTCGCCCCGGCGGCTCGTCCAATTTTGGCAAAATTTCCAAACATACGTACTATTAATCCCTAATTGTACTCGCCATCGCATGATTACCTATACAAAACACATTAGCAACAAGTGAATAATAGCACAGTTGTACTGCTTAGAGGTTAATATATTTTGATGAGCCAGATTCAACAAATTCTCTGATTCAAAATTGTTTTGAAAGAGCTTAACGATTCTGAATTTTTTGCCTCCTGGGGAAGATTGTTCCACAGTGAGACCCCATTATAGTTAAAGCACCTCTTGCCGAATTCTTTCTTTGGCATAAGAAGTGCTAAGTCAGTTTCTCTATTTCTGAGATTGTAAGAATTATCTATTTCGTTGTTTGATCGAAACGATTCTTTCAGATTATGTGCGGCATGAATATGTAAACAGGAAAACTCCTAGTGCAGTGTCGTATGCATGCTGTACTACATAGTAGAATGTGGGGAATGCAATTATTAAAAGAAGTATTACATACTGTGTCCAGTGAGCTCCGTATAGAACTGGAGTAGGGTATTCCGTATTTGGCCTATGCGAAAAGCGAAGCAAAAACGGTGTAAATTAAATGAGTTGTTGGACATTAGTTTCAGTATGCTGCGCGGCCATAAAAGTAAACATGGCATCATAATAAAGAGTGATTCACGAATTTACGCTTTAAGTTAAAATTGCGCCGACAAGTACTACTGTAAGGTGAATGAAACTGACGTCCAATAACTCGCTTACAGCACCTAGATCTTACTTCAGATATATATAAAAATATATAGAGCTCACTGTTTGTGTCCAATAACAGAGATAAGAGCAAGCTTAAATTTAATGCAGCGAGAAGGTGTTGTCGACGCTTTCTTTCAGCAAGATCACGGCTCATCACCTGAGTGAATAAAATCATTTGCTGTTCGGCATAAATTGGTCCCTTCCCCTTTAAAGGCCTGTTTACACCTGCAATATTTGCTGCAATTTCTAATGCGATTTCCCTATTCTGATGAATGTGAACGAGTTATGAATGTTCGAATTGAGATGAGGGTACACATGCTTCGAACATTAAAGGACATTGGCAATAAAAATTGGTTTGTCTCATTCAAAAGAACTCTTAAAATTATATATTAAACTCTATTACAGATTTGTCACATCTTGCTTTGTTCTCGAAATATTTAGACCGAAATTAATGAGCTTTCCGCCATTTTGGAAAAATTCTTTAATTAACCATATAAAACTACTCTTAAAATGACCGAGTAACAATCCAAAATTGTTTGAAATGTTTTTAATCATTTCTAAATTTCAGACAGCAACCAGAAACGAAAATTTGGACTCATTTTAATCGCTTACTCTCAAGATAAAAACTTAGCGTGACCCCTCTCTTGACGTAACATGCATATCCTCAATAATCAAAGATGGCGAACAGCTCAATTTTTTCAGTCGAAATATTTTGAAAACTAAGCAAGATATAAACAATCTGTAATAGAGTTTAATATACAGTTTTAAGAGTTCTTTCAAATGAACTAAACTAATTTTTTATTGCCAATGTCCTTTAATAGTTTATTCACTCGTTCACATTCATCAGAAGAAGAAAATCGCACTAGAAATCGCAGCAAAAATTGCGAGTGTAAACGGGCCTTGATGCGATTAAACGTTCAAATTGTAATAATGATTCCGAGCCACACGGTTCATCTAGATAAATTTTAACATCTTGGACTGAGAGGTTACCATGGTATTAATTTCCTCTTTTTAGGCGGACAAATGGTTGGCCCTGACAGTTTTCAACCCTCTGCAGTAGGAATGCAACAAGGTGTTGCTCCAACATTTTTCTTCCCAAATCAACCCACCCCTGCAGGTCCTACCTATCAAGGCCAGCCTGCGCCAAGACAGCCAACACCGCCATTACAACAGTCTCAAGGTGGTTTTCCAAGTCAAATACTACCTGTGGCTGCACAATTTGTAAACCCAGCGACCTTCTTCCCGAGAATTTATAACCAGCAGGTATGTTCTACAGAAGTTTCAAGTACTATATACTAAGTTGTTGGTAGTTATCCTGTGAGAATAGGGTTGACTTACTGGTACTGTATAATCGTGTTAGGTGGTTTCTGTTATCGCGGACGCGTGTTGTTCTATCTAAAGCCTGGTTTCGATATGGTCGTAACGGTCGTAAAGATTGAGTCGCGATCGTTCTCATCAGCCTAAATACAACATTTTAGAACTGAAAATACGCGGAGTGATTATAACTAGAGAATACATATGATTTATGTACTATTTAAAAAACGAGCAGGAGTGTTTTATTAGGTTTAAAGCCACGAGCGCGCATAATAAGTCAAATCTTTATATAAAAATCTTTATATAAAAATCTTTATATAAAAATCTTTATATAGTTTGCATAACAATGGTCTTTTGTTGAAGTGTTCTTTAGCTGGTATAAAGACGTATGCACGTGACTAATTTCTTACTCAATATTGGATAATTGCTTCATGAATTATTAATGAGTTTTTGAAATGTGGTTTACAGGTATCAACTATTATAAACTGGCCGTTGAGAAAGATCGTGACTCTATTTTTACGACCATTAAGACCATATCTTAACTCTTAAGGTGTATATTTTTGGGCATTTAAAGCCCCTTCCCCCCCCCCTAAAGTGGTAACATTGCTCTTTGTATACTCTGTTAATACCGTCATCTTCATCCCTCGTGGATACCGTCATCTCTACTCAAAACATAACGCTTGTTGGTGTTAATAACTCGTGAGTTATCCTAGACACTAGACTGAAGTGTCGAAACCTTGGGTCTTGAATGTAATGTGTTCGTGGATTTTATTAAACCAGAATAGCGAAACAATGGCAGCACAGTTTCTTTTGAAACTATAGTTTACATCTTCAGTACGAAAGAGATTACGATATAACTTTATTTCCATCTGTAGGATTTGGAGATGTTGCCTACACAACAAAATAATGTTCCAGCAAATGCTCAAGGTGTGATGACTCCAAACACAGGGAGTCCATCATCGAACTACCAAGAACTGAACAGTCAGTTTACTGGAATGTCAATCAGTCCTGCCGAACAACAAGAGAATCCTGGATTGACAAAACAACGTGGTGGTAGTGCTTTCCCTCCAAGTTCTACTCAACAATTTCCTTCAGGTCAACCCTTGCAGTTCGTAGTGTACCGCAATATCTCGGGGGCTATGGTTGCGACCCCAGTTTCAAACCACGGTCAAGTAAACCCTGCATATGTATACCCTTCCCCAACACCCCATGCATATACGCAACAAGGATATAATGCTCAAGTGTTTAACCAAGTGTACCCACAACAACATTTTAACCAAGGGTTTGCTTTAGGAGAACAAACTTTACTAACACAACGAAGTGGTTCTCATACCCCTCCTCCTCAGAGTGGACCCCCTTTGAATACAAACCCGGGGTTTATACAACATGTTCAAGCAATGCCAGTGACTCCTTCCCGGCCGCAAGTGCCTACCCAGGTATTAAACCCCGGTATGTTGCATGCTCGTCTTATGAACCCTTATGGAGTCCAAGGACAACAAGTTGTTCATATTCCTGCAGGACAACAATTGTTTGGTTATACACAAGTACCGTACGGACAAAACAGACCAAACTTACAGCAGCCTCCAAGGTATAAGCCGTATGCAGAGAAAGGAAATCATAAATCTAATGATGTTTATATTCCTGAATCAAGTAATTTAAGACGACCATCACCCAGCGATTCACCACGTGGTAACACTTCCTCTGGTCAGAACAGAAGGTCTAGTGGTGGCTCAGGCAAGGGACATGGCAAGAGTGATGTACAAAGGTGAGTTGATAATCATATACGTAGGTCTTTCTCCTCCGTGGAGGTTTCTGCTTCTCTGGATGGCACTACACAGATGAGTAGGCGGATATTTTGCAGTAAGGGGGAGGGAAGGGGGCGGAGCTTGAGCATTACAAAAGTCCGTATCAACCAACGCACACTGAAATTTTTCATCACTTATAGCACTTCGTACATATATCATTTTTATATGTTGTTAAGTGTACATTACCCCTGAAAAGTCTGCACTATATTAATTAAATCCTGGATCCACCAGTGTGTTTGCGAAAATGGTATGGTACGTAATTACCTAATTACGGACTATGTACCGATTATTAAAGGCATGTGATACGATAATATAATTAACAATTATACCATGAGCTCGAGATATAAATAAGCTGATAGTTGACGAGGTTGTTTTTCTTTGCGACTGTTTCTGAACGATTTATATTCCCTGTATAAATGTTAAATTAAATTAAATTCCCAATCGACATATTTTTTCGCTGTTGTTTCGGTATTAATTCTTTAAAAAACTTGGGTTTAAACCTATTTCTACATAATAAATACATTTTGCTAACCTGTCAACAATTTTTGAGAGTTTTTTCTTGTACTTTTATCTTTCTTAAAGCGAATATTTTCCTTTTCTCTGCTTCGCAAAACTCTTGTAAGTTATGTGCCGCCATCTTGTTTTCGCTGCTCGCCGTATACGAGCTAATATACGGTAAGTAGCTCAACCAATGAGATTGCAGAATAGCTCATATACGGTGGATGACTATAGTATGGCCAGCATCGTTTATACCGGCAGGCTGCTCCATTTACAGTGCACACGGTGTTCTGGAACAGTGTTTAGTTTATTATATATGCGTGCAACCATGAATTACTATATTAGTTATTCGCATAATAAATGGTATAATGATTTGCTGTTATTTGTATATCTAAGTATGCTTTTGCAACGATTTTACTCGTTGATTTTGCCCAACCCTGGCGTTAAAATAGCATATAATAAGTATATGTCAATATGTAGCGGTTAACCCTTCAAAATAACATTCTATGCAGTGGGCAATTGCTAGATAGTATACTTCAAAATAAGGTTTCCGTTTTTATATCAATTTTTGAAATAAGTTAGGATTAGGTTAGGGTTGTGGTTAGGGTTCGGGTTAGTATTAGGGTTAGGGTTTATTTTGCGTTAGGATGGTTTTTTCTACGTTATAAAAACGGAAACCTTATTTTGAAGTATACTTTCTAGCAATCACTCTATGCAGTGTGCATTGAATACACAAAATCTGTCGCCTCCATTTCCAATCACGTGAAAATGGGCAGTGTCTGTTCTGGCTGCCCCTACTCGAAAATCGGGGTAGTCAGAACAGTTCAGAACAGTCATGTGATTGTCTTCTGTTCCATTCGTGTTCCGAAAATCCGGAGTACTCCGAACAGTAAATGGAGCAGCTTGCAGATCGTTTACAACAGGGGCGGCGCTAACCCTCTTCGAGTGGAAGTGAGTGATCTTTTGCCGACTGTTGTTTTGGTAATTTTGCCGAATTAGCCTATACCATTTGATTTTTTGGGGGTTGGAAGATTCAGACTGTGCAAAAAAAAATTTTCCGCGCAGGTGAACAAGACAGATATTTTTTGCTGTAAAAGTGCAGCGCAAGATATTTTCTCCCAATATATTTCGCGGCAGAATACTTTTTTGTGCTTTCATATAGCTATCGTCAGAGACGTAGCAGGGGTTTTCAGTCAGAGGAGGCCGAGAACTGAATTCCAAGAGGGGCCAAGGAATTTTCACTGTGCTTTATTTTATATGGTTATGTCTTAATGCCCCCACACTAAAGCGTGCAGGTTTACTTACAAAAAATGTATAACTGCACCAAAACCTAAAACATGCAGGGATAGAGTAGAGTACTCGAAAATGGGGGAGGTACAGTATATGAATGACCTGTAACCTTGGGGGGTTCGGGGGCATGCTCCCCCGCGAAAATTGAAAATTTGAACCTCGGAAATGCCATTTCCTGCGTTTTCAGCCATGGATTCGTCCAACAACTTTGCTGTACTAAGCCTAAGGAACACTTACTGTCCTTTTATTTTAAACAAGGGAAAATCACAAAATGAGCTTTGATTAATATGTAATAAAACAAGATTTCAATAATGCGATTTTTAACTGCCCTCCGAAACAACAATGTTCCACCAAATATAGCTCTGTAGCTTTTCAATCGTTCATACAGATAGCTTGTTGGGGATCGGGTTGCATCCTCTTCAGAAATTTTTTAAAATCTAGACTCTCTAAACTGGCATTTTCGCATTAAAATCATCGTATATGCAGTACGTTCAACTTGCATCCTGTAGATGGGCCTTTGAAGCTTTAATAGTTTGGAGCTATGTTATCAAAAAACGCACACAGACTCAACCATCCAAAAATACTTTTTCTACCATGCATATTAGATATTTATAAATAACGTATAAACTTGTACATATCTTAAGCCCAGATTTTCTCAGGGGGGGGGGACAATTTTGCCAGGGAACGCCACAGGCTATATCGTATATGTTATAGGCTCCAAAGGCGGTAGAATCCCTATCATGTTGTCCACTGTTCACCCCGTTTTCACCCCGTGTTCTTTTAATCAAATGTGCCTGCTCAAAAATGCAAAATCGTGCAAGCCTGTGGACACAATACTGAAGTGAAGAACGTTGTGCGCTCTCTTTTGCATGATTTTTTTTCTCGATTATATGCTGCATGATTTTTTTTCTTTCTCCTTGGATTGCAGGAATTTTTTTTAAATCTTCCACCCCCCTCAAAAATCAAATGGTCCGCCCCTAAATGCGTTTTATTACCCTCTATTAAGCCGATTTTCCACTAGCGAATTTTTCCGCGCGAAGCGACCTTTTTCCTTTGTCGGCATCCATTTTGAAGCCCTCGAAAACCGTCAAAATTGAGATCGGAAAAAAAGGGCCGACCTAAATCTGACCTAGGTCGGCACGTCTCGGCATTTCTTAAAATCTGTTTCACGTCTTGGAGCACTATTAATCACGCATTTACGAATCATTGAAATCGGAATATAACTGGAACGTTACCTCCAGCCGGAAAATTCGAAAGTTGAAGCCAAATTTTAACTCCAGACGCGCGAAATTTGATCTTCAGACACCTAACGTATATACACAATACCCGTCAATTTTTAAACCTTACACCGTGTGTGTTCAGTTAATCGAACTACGAATCGAATTCTATAATCGCTGACTTTTTAACAGCTAACAGCACCAAAAATTCTTACTTTGGTTGAATTAAGGTCGGCAAAAATTTGCCGACCTTGGAATGCCGACCTCGTTTTCGAGGACTGATGTTGCCACGTCTTGCTGACGTAATAAGTGATACCGACAAAGGAAAAGGTCGCTTCGTGCGAAAAATGATAAGCAACAACAACTGAACAACAACAACCAAACAAATTTAATTAGAAAGAATTTGCATTGCTGCATGTGTGGTTTCTTTGATGCATGCTAGTCGTGATATTCGGTTTGAATTCAATTATTCAGGAAGTCAATTTTGGTTTCTTCAGTGGTTATCTTTAGCCAATCCAGTTTTGCCGACTGAGATAATAATTTGCCGATTTG